GAGGCATTGTGTAACAAAGCTGGCACATCCTGCGACTCGATGACGCGGAGCATGATCGACAGCCGCCAGCCAGCTGATTGTCCGTGGAGAAGATGGGCAGCATCCAAACCCCTTGACATGACACATGTCCTCCCTTGTTTCTTTTAACGTGAATGGCATCAGTTTGCTAAAGGCGACATTCTCTTTCATTTTTGCTTTGCATAGAGGGATTGCTCTACCAAAGATTCTCTTGCAGTGTCTGATGAGCCTGGTGTCTGGTTCGTGCCACAAAGGCGCGCATAGAAGCTTGTGTCGCCACGAACACGACATTGGATGACGGCCATTTCTTCTTTATAGAAGTCTACTATAGACGGGCATCGGAGACAATAACTGACACCAAGAAACGTCAACCATGCACTTCGTGCGAGTGTTTGTATGGATGGTCGTAGGCTTCACCACGGCCGTGCCTGTTCGTGGCTTCGCCGATGGTCTCGCCGACCAGAAAGCCGTCTCGCATGATGATCAATCCTTCCGCGTTTCCAAACCCGACTGTAAGTGACCTATCCTTCAAGAGTTTCTACCGCCAGTCACATCTCCCGAGGGTGGCTAACCATACTCTAGCATCCGAAACGTAAGCACACCCAATGCAGGTCCATGTTGCATCTACTTCCCAACCTGTTTACTCACCAACACGCAGACATCATGACGCAAAATTCGCGTACGACTCACGATACATGAAGCAGTTGCTCAACAAAACCGCCCATCGCGACGCGGCTCGCACCCTCATCCAGTCATACCTCATCACATGTCGCGAACTCCAGGTGCAAACTTGGCTCATGAACGGGAGTCTCTTGGGATGGTGGTGGGGAAAGAAGGTAGTCAGGAAAGAATTCGGGAATTCTCTATTTCATCCCGCTGACATATTTCAGATGTTGCCATGGGACTACTCCAGCAATGTTCAAATTACCGAGGCTGATCTCCATTTCTTGGCGGCCTACCACAACGCTTCCGTTCACTTCCACAAACGGAAAGCCATGCCGAAAGGAAAGAGATTTCTGCTCGAAATAAGCCCGGATTTCACGAACAGGGCGCAAACAGGCGCTACGGATGTGATTGATGCTCGCTGGACTGATCTCGGCAGCGGGCTATATCTGAACATCACGGCCGTGCGATATAGTCCTGACCATCCGAGCGGCGAAGGGGTGCTTTACACAAAGGACGGTCAACAATTCCATGTAAGCGAAGACGCAGGCGTGCTGCCAGGAACGGCGGTCGAACGTCGACTAACGGCGGGTAGGACACCTTGTTGCACCCGTTAAGAGACACAACATTCGAAGGAGAGCCGGTCAAAATCCCATATCGGTATAAGACTATGCTAGCCGAGAGGTATGGCGAGGAGGCCTTGAAGAAAACGCACTATAATGGGTGAGTTGATCAAAACCTCTTGCAATCGTTTCCCCATCGTTGGGCTGATGACTGTAGACACAAGTTCGATACGCCTGAGATGCAATGGGTAATGCAAGGATGAATTACAAGGGAAAGTATCGAATGGCAGGCAGCACCTATGCCACAGTGTAGAGAAGTTATGAAATATTCGAGGGATAATGGACAAGATTCTAAAAGAGATCAATGTTGAATGAAAAACCTTGGTGTGAACAATTGGTGCATGTTTCTTCAGCATTGTGGGGTCTGGTGCGAGCCAAGATTGCAAACCCCTGCGGACAAGCTTAAGCCGCCATGCCCCGCGACGTCACTGACAATGGATCTAGCAGACGCGTCTGACTCAACCACATTCGCGTCTCTGACCGTCGAGCCCAATTATCGCCACAACCACCCACCCTTGCGTGCGCTCACGATGGGTGCCGAAAAACATCCACAGGCACGGTATACTATTCTTCACATGTAACAGCACATTCAATTGTCTCCCGGAATGGCAACAGGTAAGCCCGCCGCAGCGCATTGCGCAGCTTCATGACTACGTGGTAACCGAGCAAAACAGGAAGGGAACGTCGCGAGGGAAAGCTCAACGAGCGACTCCGTGGTGCTGGGTACGTGAATCATTCTGAACTCGCGCCTGCAACACGTTCCCGCTGATACCTCTACAGGCGAACAAACATCGACGACAACGATACCTTCAACCTCGACATCCCCGGCATCGCCACCGGACCAGCCGTCCAAAGCTCAAGCTCACCAGGCTCGCTACCCGCGCACCCCGCTGCCCAAACAAGTCTTCCTAGCAGGACAACCAGCAACGCACCGGACACCCGACAGGAGACAGAATCGCCGTATCAGCCTGCCGGAGACGCGGATCTTCCGGGCCCTCGCAGCTCAAGCGCACCGGTATCAGCACTGTCCGAACGCGATGACCCTGAACTGGATGAACCAGAGCCTGTTCAGCCGCCGTCAAGCGCCGTGTTTCGGGGAGGACCCCGAGTGGCCAGAACCATCACAGAAGAGATTACGGAAAGTCCAGCCGGGAAGCCTGGCAGCGGCCACAGGCAGCGCATCAATGAAGCAGTCAACATCGGCGGAGCACCGACGGGACGGACGCCGGAAATAAGCGATGAGGATGACGCACAAACACAGCCATCATCGCCACTCGCAAACAAGAAACGTACGAGCAATGTCTCACGGCCATCAATTCCAGCAGTACCCGAAGAATCAGAAGGGGAGAGGGAGGAGGAACCAAGCGATGAAGCTCGCATTCCTCCACCTCAACAACGACCAGGAATGGCAAGGAAGGAGGCGGTGGTCGTGGAGGAAGAGGAGGAGGAGGAGGAGGAGCCCGAAGAATCAGATCACTCCGATGAAGGGGCTGTAGAGATTGACGATCGAAGAGCGGCCCAGTCCATTGGTGTAAAGCGCCCTAGGCCCAACAAAACACGGTCTCCGGAACTAGGCTCAGAGCAATCCGAAGACAGCCAGCCCGAGGAACCGGTGCAAAAGAGGCACCGCAGAAGCCCGGCAGCCCAGAGGCAGCCTGCGAAGCGACCTAAGCCACAGCCAAAGCAGAAACGCCATAGTTCGGGAAGTGATCGCGACGACGACGCAGCGATTGAAATTACCGTCCAACGATTTGTCAACAACTTTGCCCAAGGCGCCGATGACGAGGATGAACTACAGCAGGAGATTCCATTTGCGAACCGTGGTGGAGAGACAGTCGTAGATGTCTTCTCACAGGTCTGCGAAGAAATGATTTCTTCAACTTTGGAAAATCTCCAGAAGATGTTGCAGTCTTCTGATGATTTGGGGAAGAAGAAGGAGTTGAGAGTCAAGATTCGTGCTATAGGGGCCTATCGGGAGGAGCTTAACTCTCGGCTGCTCCAACATGTGAGTGCTCCCCATGTTGAATTCGACGGGCTGTTACTGACGAGATTTAAGGCTATTCATTTAAATCACTGGCATTCGTTACGAAGACGTCTTCGTCACGTTCAGAAGGAGAAGTTGGCACTTCGAGATGAAATTATTCGGTTAAAGGGAGAAAGGGAACAAGTGGCGCTTCGGATGGATGCTGTCCGTATCAAACACGAAGCTGACAGTAAAGAATCGACAGTGAGTTGTTGCGTTGCGATTTTGCATTGATCATGGTCTAACACTTGGGAATTTTGTTGTTCTTAGTCTCGTTTAAATGCATCCTCTCTCATGCACGACATCGATTTGGCGGTCGAACAAGGTCGGGAAGCCCCAGAACTATCTCGCAAAGCAGAAAAGGAAGCCGATCTGGGCAATCTCGACCTGGTCCTGGCTCAAATATCAGACCAAGTTAGCTCAACGAGCTCAACTGGCGGTCTGCTTCAACAAGTACAAGATTTCAACGCGTTTCTGGAACGAGCAGCCACAGCACTTGAATCAGGTTGAAACCGGTGTTTTCAGTTGAAAGAATCTACTTTTCTGACGCTCCACCCAACATGCCCCCGCCGCCTTCCGCGCCACGGCTTATTGAATCTTGGCCTTGCTGAAGTCCATCTCCGGGTGCTGTTCCTGGAACTTCTTCAAGATGTCCATCTTCTTCTGCTCATCTGACGAAGGCAGCCCCTTCTCCTTCTGACGCTGGTCATACATCATCTTCTCAACCATGCCCCTCGTCTCACCGTCGAGGTCAGACAGTTTCGAAGAATCAGGCTGAATCTTCGTTACGTCAATGGTAGGAGCAGAAGTGATAACGTGCGCCCACCACTCCATCTTGTTGACCTTGTCGAGCTGGATTTCGACCGTCTTGGTACCGTCGGCGTTTGTGGATAGGGTCCATGTCGAGTCGTCGACGTGGATGGCATGGGGGAGATCTCCCTATGGCAGATCAGTATTCAAAAGTCTCTGAACTGGATATACTCCTATGGTCATGGAGCTTGGAGACCTAAACGATCATCTTAGGACCGTTGAATGTACCTTAATGACGGGCTCTTGGCCCTTGATACCCGCAGTCAGACTCTGCTTTTTAATGTCTATGATGAGATCTTTTGACTTCATGTTTCCGGGAACTGTGAAGGTAACGTTGAGTTCCGCAATAGTCTGTTGCCATTTGTAGGGCAAGGCAGCTTGCTCGTCAGCCTCTTTGGCGCGGGCGGCTGCCTCGTCAGCTGGAGGCGGATCTGATGTGTTTGGTTAGCTCGGCTTGGGTGACGTAAGGGTATATGTCTAGTTTTGAGTGTATGTGATATAAGAAGATCAGATAACCACCTTTGACGTCAGCCATTTTCTGCTCTCTCGAATAAACGTGGTTGGGGCAATGCACGTTGCGTAGAAGAAGATCGATGTGGAATGGTGGCGTGCCCTTTGGAAGACTGGTTGCGATGGCGGGGCAGTAGCTATCGAGCAAACCCCTACGATACGAAGAGCAAGGGGTGGCGGCCGCCGTCATTGGCTGACAAACCTAGCAGCTGGGACAGAGCTCCCTTCAGTTACGACTTCGCGCGCCCCGTCAATTCGAGATCCGCAACGCACCATTGAATCACCGGCATCATCGCGCACCTCGCGCTCGGAGGCTTCTATCTCAAGCTCTCAAGCCTCCCGACCACGCCAAAATGACGCGAAACGGTACCAGCACCGTCTCAGCGCGCCATGGCGCAGCAACTGGCCTCGGTGCCCCCAACGACGAGGACGAGACATGTCCCGTGTGCAAAACGACCCGGTACTTCAACCGGGACATGGAATTCCTCATCAACCCAGAGTGCTACCACCGAATGTGCAAAACGTGCGTCGAGCGAATCTTCAAAGACGGGCCCAACCAATGCCCCTACGCCACATGCCACAAGACCCTGCGACTACGTGGTTTCAAGTCCGCCTTCTTCGCCGACCTGACTGTGGAGCGGGAGGTCGATATTCGCCGCCGCGTAGCTCAGATATTCAACAAGGTCGAGGATGACTTTGAATCACTCGATTCATACAACAAGTACCTAGAATACGTGGAAGACCTGACCTTCAAGCTCGTCAATGGCCCGCCCGAGGCCAAGGGCGAAGCAGAAGGCGAGCTGGCCGCGTGGGAAGCACAGCACAAGGCCGAAATCGAGCGCAACAAGAAACTCGCGCGCGAGTCAGACGACTCGCGGAAAAGGCGACTCGCGGCCGAACAAGACGCCGCCCGGCAACGACGCCTGCAGGACCTGCAACAAGACGCCGAGGAGAAGGCCAGCGCCGCGCGGTTCCGTGAAGAAATGCTCGACTCGCTGCAGAGCGCAGAAGTGGGACACGCCACCGAGACAATGGATAAGATCATGCTCAAGAAGCGAGGGCAGCAGAAGAGGGATTCGGCGAGGGACGCTCTGTCCGGCCCCGCGGGGGGCCTGTCGATCCGCGGGCTGCGGGACAAGACTCGTGGTGTGGCAGACGACAACAAGCCGTATGATCCGTTTGGGGGCCTGGATCTGGCGCCGACCAGAGTTGATTTGGGACACGATAGATTACAAGAGTATCACAGCGAGTGGATAGACGTGATGCGCTCCAAGAGCGAGTATCTCGTCGGCGGGTACAGTGCCGACGAGTACATCTCGAGAGCTCTGTACGAGTCGTTTTCGGGGCTGGGCGTGTTCATCGCAGAGGACAAGGTGGACAGGGCGGTTGCTACGGCCGGCGCCAGCGAGGCTGCTGTTGCCGGCGGGAAGATGGACACCGATGATGTGTTTTAGAGGACTACGAACTATACGGGGAGGTTTTTTTTTTTCCTTTTCGGCAGGCGTGAAATGGCGTTTTGGTTGGGTTGGGCTGGCAAAAGGCGTTTTTGATAATGGCTCCACGCCATTCACGACTATAATCTGTTGCAAAAGATAGATTTGGCTATCATGGGGCATGCCCCCATGCAATACAATATATAATAGCGTACTCCGCGGGAGTGCCATATCTAACCACACGCTTTGTTCCTCTTGGCCCCGTGAGCAGGTACTAGTTCGATTAAGAACGTGGTGGGAGCAACATTATTTCTGACAACTGCCTAAGTGATACAACTTTGCCTATGTACTCGATAACACTACAGCCACTACGCTATGAAAATCCGTGCCTCCCTCCGTCCCTATCCAACAACGCCTTGCTGATGCGAATACCGGAATTCATAAGAATAGTCCACGGGGAAGACGAGCAAATTCGACAGTACTACCAAGGAAAAACGATTGGAACTTAGCGGTGTAAATGAACAACAAAAGTAGGATCATAGAATGCAATTTATTGCTGCCAGGGCGTTTGTTGCGCGGGACGAGGGAATACAGGGACAGTAGGGAGTTGATCCAGCCCACCGCCGATACTAGCCTGGTTATGCTGCCACCCCATGCCGGTATTGTGGTTGACGAACGCGCCGTGGCGGAAGGGGTTTGTGGTACCTGTTGGTTGGGGACCGAGAGGACCTGGATTAAGAGACTGGTCTGGAGGCGGGACTTGTTGCGGTTGTTGTTGCATTTTAGCAAAGGGGTTGGTTCCAGTAGGTTGGGCTTGGATAGGGATTGCAGACTGGAAAGGCGATGTGCTTTGTGTAGGAGATCGAGCGAAGGGGTTCGTAGACTGGCGTTGCACTTGGGGCGTTGGACCGGGTGAGGAAAATGGCGATGGGTTGCCTGGCATGCTGGCTAGTGGCATCATTGATTGCCTGAACGGGTTGGTCGTGCCTGTGGGTGTTGGCTGAAGGGGATTTGGCTGAAGGGGGTTTGGCTGACCGGCTTGCAAGGGTTGAGGTTGTTGCGGCTGCTGCTGTTGTTGCCCATACTGGAAGCCTTGGTTTGGGTTGAGGAATGTAGCCTCCAGATTCTGGGGAATTGACCCAAGAGTACCGGGCTGAAAGCTTGGCTGCGGTGTGAAGCCTCCGAATCCAGCGCCGGTGAAGTTGGGTTGCAGAGGCTGAGGCTGTTGCAGTTGCGGCTGCGGCTGCTGCTGCGGCATGAATCCACTCATATTCTGTTGCTGCTGGAACATGTTGTTGGGTACAAAACCGGTTTGCTGCGGCGCAAAGCCATTCTGAGGAAATGGCATACCCGTGGGCTGCGCCTGGAAGGGTGCTGCGGCAGGCATGATGCCAGTTGGCTGCGGGTTGACCTGCAAAGTTGTCTGCTTTTGCTCAATCGAGTCGAAAAAGTCGATAAGATCAGGATCCGGGCCCTTGTTGGCTTGTGGTTTGCCGTCGACTTTGGCATCCGGAACAGAGGGGAAGGGGTTATTCAGATTTGGCGAAGGTGGCTTGGTAGGCGACTTGGGGAAGTCAACCTTCGCCGCTTTAGAAGACCCCCCCGTTTTCTTTGCATCTTGCTCAGCCAGATACTGTCGTCGGTGAACCTCGAAATCAGGGTCCTTGAGATAATCCTCTAGTTGACGAGCCAAGGTGACTGGGGCGTGCTTGAGCTTGGGGACTTCGACTCTCGTATGGTGTTCATACATGCGAGCGGCACTGAGATACTGCACAACATGGTCGGTCACTCGCGTGAATGTGCGATAAATTTCCAAAGCTCTCTGGGCATCCGTCTTGGACATCTCAAAGAAGTGTCCTGCATTAAAATATGTGAGCAAGGGGGCTTGAGACAATTCGATTTGTTGTCGGCCCGACGAACCTAATACGTTTATGAGACCCTGATTGAGCACTTGAAACAAAGACAACAGGTCCAAGACCAACAATCGGAAGATTGCAATAGTGATTTCGTTTTCAGGTTCGGTTTCGAGGACCTAGGCGCATTTATTAGCAGCATTGGTGTAATTCGACGTGATATTTACTCACATCACACTTGACCAGAGCCGACAATTGGTTCTCGACAATCTCAGTCTCCCGGAGCAGACCCTTATCAACAGCTAATTTCTCTAGTCTCGAATCATTCTCGCGGACCCAGTCGATCTTGGTGTCGCGAAATGCCCGTGCCCGCTCTGTCAAATAGTTTGCATAATGCCGAATGTTCCGACCTTGAGTTTGGGCTGGAGCGCCAACTAGTCAGCCCGATTCACAATCGGTGTTATTCACGAATGACCAACCATCGGCAAAATGCCCCACGGTCAAAATGTTACGATGCTTGGCGAGGAACGATAGAGTCGCATTCTTCTCGCCCTCTCGGATCATAATGTGCGTGGTGAGCAAGCTCTTGAGCACCACTGTCCATGTCGAGTCGCGCAACCGGTATTGTAATGAACGAAAGACTTCACCTACGCCAGCATCGCCTGAGTGCGTGGCCACGAGGATGTGTTCGATATATTTCGTCTTGGGCGGCGCATTCTACAAGTCGCATCGGTCAGCATGTAATGGACTGGTGATCCTATCGTCTAGTAGCTCGGTGCTGAGGTGGTCATTGGGGGGAGGGGTGGTTGGAATTGGGACGCAATTCGCTCGTACTTTGATCTTGGTTGCGCCCTTGACGGACTTTTCGAAGGAGCCCGACATGGTGCAAGTTCTTGTCACCCTGATGTTTTCGGGTGAAGTTCCTCGCCACGGACCAGGGGTGAATAATAAAATAAAAACAAAAACGCTGATGGCCCAGGTGGATGACGAAAGGAAAAGGGCTGAATTATGGCTGGATGGCCGGGATGAGGTCGGGCTTGGTCTGGCTGCAATGGATCTCGGGTGGAGCGACTCGCAAAGCATGGGATGGACTGGGCTGGGGTCGATGAAGACGAGTGGGGCCAACCAGACTTGTCCACGCAAAATCTGAAGGCTGTACGGCGTGATGCCCAGAGGCCAGACAGATTTGCAGCAAGCCGCTCTGGAGCTGACGGAATACATGTACATACAAGCACATAATCAACAGCAATTGCATCAGGCCGGCCCCCTGAGACGGCGATTCATCTGAATACCAACTGCTCAAGTACTTAGGTGCCATACGGGCTCACTATCTTGACCAACCAAACAATGCTGCAACTTGATTCCAAAGTCATGCTTTATTACTGCTAATCGGCTATTCCAGTTCTTAGTACAGAGCACTGTTGCAGAACTACTGCGAGTGTGGCCCCCGCGGTCATGCACATCTTGGCGATGGTTCCAAGGCTGTGCTGATCAAGGCCACTTGGCCAGTCAGTAAACCAAGCCTTCGTCACATTGAGAGCATACGGACTACGCATGTTCAACTGATAACAAAAAAAAACTTCCGTCCAAAATCAATCGCCTAATCATGCGTCCAGCATCCCCAGTATTCAAAACAAAAAGAGTAGAAAACACTTCCATTCATAATAAATCAGAGCTTTTTTTCATCGCGTCCGAGATGTAACAAGGTCGGTGTGTCGAACGCCCATTTCAAAATACCAATTCTAGCCTCACCAGCAAACCACTTAAGCCCCGAAGGGAGAGTTTGAAGGGTCGGAAGAAAGGCATCTGCATCATATTACGCACGCGGTTCTCATCATCTGCAAGACATTGTCAGCAACGGTAGTCTGCTTGGTCAGATCTGGGGAAAAGTTGGTGTACATACACTTATTTGAATGGAAGGGTTCATAAGGAGAAAAAGAAGAGAAAAAAGTGCCCGGTCGATGGCACCGAAATTTAAAGCGGCTGTGGGTCGGTGGGGGCCTGGCGGATTTTCCCGGCAGAACGGATGACGCTGCTGGTTTGGCTAGAGCTTTGAGCTCACCAAGTTCACCATCATCTGATCACTCAAGTCAAACTGCACCTTGGCTGTGGCGGCACCGCAGCGTCAATTCTGACAGTAATGCTCCAGCTGGGTCGCTGCTGGGCTGTCTCACGCCGCGGTGCTTGCAATCGCTCCTTACTGGCACCAATTTCTCGCAATGGCGCTTTGAGGTTCTATGCGCATCAGTCTGCTGCGGCTGGCCCAAGGGCAGGACACCTCAACAAGGAAGAATTGCTCAAGACTTGGAACCAGTGTAGGCTTAGATTGGTTCTATGCATTTGTATATTTACTAAATGTTCTCATAGTTCGAGGTTCCAATTCGTTAACACAAACCGACCCCGACGTCATAACAGGATTTCTTGGAAAGCGACGCAATGTCGGAAAGCACCTGTCATTCGCGGACCTCACCACATCTTCAGGTGAAGTGATCCAAATATGCTCCCATGCCGATGGTGGGCTAGAATCCCACGAGAAATTTCGACAAGTTCCCGCCTTTGCGCCAGTCGTCGTCTGCGCGCGACCAGAGCCGCCAGCACAAGCAGCTGGAGAAGAGCAGAATAGTTCCTCGTCCAAGCGAACCCTATATCTTAGGGATATTCGATCATTAAACACGGTTCCAAAAGATCTTATTGTCACGTCTGATGTTCAATTCCCTCAAACAAAGCGACACTTGCAAATTCGATTCCACCCTGAGCTTCAAGCCAGACTACAATTCAGGTCTTGGCTAAAGGGTCAGTTGAATCAGAGCTTGTTGGAAAAGGGGTTCACAGATGTTGAGACGCCTACCCTTTTTAAATCTACGTCCGAAGGTGCCCGCGAGTTCTTGGTTCCAACGAGACAAAGGGGTACTGCATATGCACTCAGTCAGAGCCCTCAACAATACAAACAGATCCTCATGGCGAGCGGTATTGGTCAGTACATGCAATGGGCAAGGTGCTATCGAGATGAGGATTTGCGGACGGATAGACAGCCAGAATTCTCTCAGGTATGTCCCGCTCATCATCTCCATCACGGGAAGGTTATGCTTACAGAAGGTTAGCTCGATATGGAATGGGCATTTGCTGGTTCCGCCAAAGTGCAGGCCGATGTAAATGATATCCTGCTGG